AAACCATGCAGATTTTTTCTATTTTTCAATACTACTGGGGACTGTCATCCATTATACAACAAAAACAACTCTTGGTCACATGTGCTCATACACATCAGAGGCACAGGGCTTCATTCGGAGGTTCTGCAAAAACACTCACTCTAAGGGACAAAGTGGGGAAGGAAGATCTTGCTCTGCAATCAGGCCACTGAAAGGAAACCTCCTGCAGAGGCCTGAGAACTGCAGTAAGGAATCCAGTCTCTAATGGGCAAGGCCGGGTCTGTGTCTGTGGTTTACAGGAGCAGCTGGGTCTCAGAGTCTAGTGTCCCTATTTGGAAAACACTTTTTCCATAACCACTTGTTTACTGAGGTTAGTAGCAACTGTCAGTTCTTTCTTCCAGGAGGGCTTAGATGGCTTATCTTCCCTCTTACCACCACGAGTAAGGTCAAAAGGAATAAAAGTCTTTGTGTAACTCAGTAGTAAGGGCCGAGATGGGATTTGGTCGGTGCTTTCAAAAGACTGATATCTCTTTTCCTTGTGCAAACCCTTTCCCACCACCGTACTGGAGCAGGGGACAGTGTGAACATGCACTTTTTGTTGTTGTTTTGAACCATCACCACCGTGTGTGGCTTACCTGTAGGAGTGGAGGGCAGGGTGGTAGAATGGAGTCAGGAGCACGCGTGTCCATTCTGATTTAGTACTTGATGAACTGTGTGACTGTGGACATGACGTCTTAAACTTCCCAGAATAAGGTTTCTGCATTATTAAATGAATATTCCTACCTGAAATCATTTGCATGTTTAAAATCATTTATTCTTTATGACATAGGAAACATACCACACTTACCCAACTTTTATTCTCTCTTTTAATAGCTCATTGACCCCTACTTATATCAAACCCTTCATATTCTGCCCCATAGTCCCAATACCCTTATAATATGCTGCATATGAAAAACAAGAAATATCATTTATGGCACATCTTGAAATAATCTATAAATTTGGAATAATATACTAGGAAGAACAAATAACCTTCTGAATTGTTTATCTGATATATTTTTAAAAAATCAATAGTTATCTGCTCTAGATTTCCTGGGAGCATTTCCAGCTTACTTCTATAGGAAAAATCTCATCTCATGTTAATGATTATTTTTCTTGTTCTTGCTAATCTAGCAATTCACTTAAAAAAATGTGCATGTATGTGAGAGCAATCCATTTTACCAAGTTATGTCTACCCTCCCTCCTGGAAGCCCAGAAATCTGATTTCATAAATCCCCAGAAACATCAATTCAACCCTAACCAGGAAAAAAACACTTCTGTAGAGAGAGGACAAACTTAGTCTTTTCTGGTATTCTTGGCCAGGCCTGGCACCCAGGATGGCCTGTCTCTCTTGTTATGAGCAGTCTGAAACACATTACACTGAAGGATTCGGAAAACAGTCCTCATTACATTTTTCTCCTCACTAATTCAGCTCATGAGACAACGTGGATTTGGAATCGACCCAGTGGTGTTTCAAGCTGCCCAAGCCTGAGGCCTGTCTAGTTTTGGAGTCTTCTCACCACCTAGGAACCATAGAGATGAGTGTTTGTTTGTGTGGTTTTGTCAATGAGAAATACTAGGTGAACACAGAAAACTACACCCAGGTGAATTCAGCCATGTAAAAATACATAGAACATAGTTGCAAAGGTATGGAAAAGTAACAGTGAAGCTGGCCTCACAGTGCTTGTAGTCTGTGGGCTAGTTTCAAACAAAGTAAAAAGAAAAAAAAAGAACACACACATCCCTCATATATCTACCAGATACCTCCATTTGCCTTGTGTGTTTTCAGCCATATCATCCATTCAGTGGTACAACCTTCAGATTTCACCTTCTAACAATAACCACCAGCTGTGAACACTCCATTGCCCTCCTTCACAAGCAGCGAGCCTCAGGTATTTTTCAAGGGAAGTGTTTTATTTGTGCATTTATTTCTTTACCATTTAACATGAATAAAACTGTGATACCATTTTTATTAGGTTTTGCTATGTCTATGGTAAATGTTTCTGTCCCCCACAAAATCCATATATTTAATCCATATATTTAATACCAGCGTGAAGGTATTACAACATGGGGTCTTTGGGAGGCTATTAGGTCATGGAGGGCAGGGCCCCCATGAATGGGGTTAGTGCCTTTATAAAACTGAATGAAATAGATCCCATGGAGATCCCTTGCCCTTTCTACCATGTGAGGACCCAGTGAGAAGGCACCATCTCAGAACCAGAGAACAAGTCTCCTGAATCTGTTGGCACCTTGATCTTGGATTTCTAAGCCTCCAGAACTGTGAGAAACACATTTCTGTTGGTTGAAAGCCACCTAGTCTCTGGCACTGTATTATAATAGTAGACTAAGAGACTTGTATCTTTAATGTGTTGCTGACATGTTGAGCAGACACAAGACACAAGAGTTTCTGTGTTGTGCCCCAGTCCAAGTTTTTTCTAAGCCCTGTGGTTTTTACTGTGCTATTTTGCTTAATGCAGTGAGTTTTAGGAACATGTATGTTACACAATAGAATTGACTATAAATATGTGATTCCCTGGGGAAATTCCTGTGGAAGCTATTTTGTCCTTAACCTCAGAAGCATCTCTAAATGTTGTTGAGGTCCCAAGTTGTTTGTTTTTCTGGTTGAGGTTCCACAACTGGCTGAAAAAGTTGGCACAATGTCTGTGTCTTCAAATGGCTGGTTTCTTTTTAGCTTTTAGATCTCAGAGAAGCCAGGGACCAACAACCCCTCTCCTATCCCATCCCCAGTCACTCTGCTCCCTCCTATGTTTTATTTTTCCCTATCTATGTCTTAAAATGACCCTATATTATGAAAGCATTGTCTTTGTTACATTAAACGGTGTTTATTTGATCATTGTTCCTCTCAGACTACATGCTCCTGAAGAAGTCTGAACCACATATGGATTAATAAATACCTGTATTCTGAAAACCAAATATTATTTTTCATGTGTTGAAAATGAAAACTATAACAGCTTTTCCTTGTATGTGTCCAACTGGGATTATTTGGGTTTCCCCCACTAGGAAGCATTAACCTAACAAGCATTTTTAAAATACTATTAAGTCCTAAGAAATAAGTAAACAGGTTACATAATAATTCAAAAACCAAACAATCTGTTTTTCACACTGCTTTCTAGCCAGTTTTTTTTTCTTTTTTGAAACTGCAATTGTTTTACTTAAATTAATACCTCAGAATAGCTTCCTGACTTCAGCAGCTTGAGGGATAACTGAGAGGGAGGGTAAACATGTGTTCTTGATAAACAACTGGGGGCCAGACACCTCAGAGCTTGCTGCTAAATAAAATGGACTTGCTCACAATACCTGCAACTGAAAATGCAGGGTTTTGTCAGCAAACATTTATCTAGTGCCCTCTAATGGCAATGTCCAGTGCTAAAGGCTGAAGGAGTGAAATGAAAAGGAAATCAAGATCTTCCCCTAAATGAGCACAGAACCTGGTGATAAAGGCCTAATGTGGCACACAGAAACACAATCCCAAGTCTTAAATCCATGTTGTTTAAAGAGAAATATGTGAAAGAATGTCACAGAGAAAGGAGCATCTACTGTTTATAAGTGCCTTGGGGTTGGGGGAGATTTGTTGGCTTTGATGTGAACTTGAAGGTGCTGTGCCAGTCACCTGCATGTGTTCTTTCATGTCCACTCCCCACTGCTCCCTGCTCTGCTTTGTACTTCAGGGAACTACGTTCCCCAGGCTCCCCTGCCCCTGGCTGGTGGCTGGGAGTACTCAGTGGGAAGCATGCACTGGAAATGGAGTCCAGAGTCTGGGAAGCATAGCTGACTATCATCCTGTAGTCCTCCGTGTCTTCTCCATGGCTCCAACAACTGCCAGACACATCCTTTATCTGGTGGTCCTAGGTCCTGGTCTCCTGGAATCCTTGTGTCCTTCCAGTTCCGGGAAGGTAAGGCTTCCTATTGATGCTAAACTTTACCCCCTTTTGGCATCTTCACTGTTCAATACTCAAGCAAGAAACTCCCTGTATCAAATCCCCTCTGTTTGAAATCCCTAGCAATGATTTTGCTCGACTCCCTGGACCCTCAGAGACACAGGAGACAACCCACTCCTGGTGGGGAAGAACGGCATAGGCTCTGGCCTGGGAGAGAAGGAAGGTTCAGAAGGCAGATTTAACCCATGGGAAGGAAAGGTTAAAGGTCACCTGACAACAACAGGAATCGTGCATGCTGAGCCTCATGACTCTTTGGGAAGACTAAGGGGGGTTAAGTGCCTACACACATATTTCAATCAAATATAAAGACAAACATTGCCCAAGAAGAGACATGTTAGGCAAGCCATGAGGCCAGTCCACCAAGTTTAAATCGGCTATTTGAGACTCTCGGGGATGGCTCACCCACTCAGAATATCAAAGCTGGGAGGTGTCTTGGTCTTTCAAATGATATGCATGAGGGATTTTGAATGTTGAAGTGCTTGCTCAAGGTCACACAGCTGGCACAGCCAGAAGGAGAATGCCACTCTCTTGATTCCAGGTTCAAAGGCCATTTAACACTGCCATTGGAGCCTTTACCATCCCCCAAGTTCATTTCAAACAAGTTTGGATCTTCGATAACTCCAAGATTATGAACAAATTTGAATGGGTTTGTTCCATAAAAATTACTTCTAATTTTGAGCTAACAATAATGAGCATGTTACATATTTCAAAGTAACCAATTTGGAATAATTTTTAAATAGAATAAAGCAGGAAACATTATATAGTCGACTGAAATGTAGACAGAATTCAGGTGGTGAAATATATTCTCCTTTGTTAGCAAAAAACAAAAGAAAAATCAATCAATCAATCAACCAATCAATCATCCTTCCAGCTTGTGATGTTTACTATAGTCTCATTAAATTAGCCTTTACAAATTCCTACAGGTGTGGTCCAGTATCACACTTTAAGAAACAAGGAGGTAAATCACTTCTATATCAAGAGCGCATGTTAAGTTTGGGGATTAAATAAACACCTTGAAACCAAGACTTTAGAGACATTATCTGTTTAATAAATATGATTGTAAAAGCAATAAACAAGAGCAATTATACATTACACTACATAGTATTTAACAAAAAAAATACATCAAAAAAGTCATTTGAAAATTAGAAGTAGTTCCAATACTATAAGAAAACTTTATTTTTTTTTAAATTGGCTTCCTATAAAAATAAGTTGGCAAATGAGGGATTTCAATGCTCAGTTGGAATCCTGGAAAAACACAGAACAGCTGCCAAGCACCCCATTGCTCTCAAAGTTGCTGTTTTGAACTTCTGGAGGGGAAAAAAAAAAAAGCAAAGCAAACCTCTGCATTTTGGACAGTGAACCCAATTAGGAATAAGGCAAGGGAGAAAATGTGGGCTGGGGTAATTCAGGGTAGAGCATGCACAGCTTGCCTTCTGAGATTTTGGAAAACATTGTGATGGCAGATTTTCATCTTGCCCTGAATCTTACCCTCTACCTCCAGCCCTCCCCACCCACTCTTCTGGCCTCAAGCCCACCAAACTCAGCCTGGTGTTTGCACCTGCTGTTAGCAAGTAGGTAGGCACTTGGGTCCCTCCCATCTATAGACTATTATTCCTAAACTTTCTTCGGGGACTGAGCTGGAAAGGCCTAGTACACTGGTTCTCAAACTTCAGTATACTTCTCAATGGCCTGAGGGGCTTGTAAACACAGATTGATCGGCTCCATCCCTGGAGTTTCTGATTCAGTAGAGATGGGGTGGGGACCCAAAACTGGCATTCTAACAAGTCCAGGGTGATGCTGATACTGCTGGTCCACACTTTGAGAAACACGGGGCTAGATCTTAAGAACAACGAGATTCCTACTGAGCAGTACCTTGCCTCTTGAAGAGGCACATGAGGACCTGGGAGATGTTGCATCTAGAGCTGGCCATCTCTGGTCACTTCCCAGAATGCCAAGCATCTCATGTCCACCTCTGCTTTTAGTTAGGACCTATAAGCCCATTCTTCCTTATGTCTTCTCATGTCATCATTCATTCCTTCCAGAAATCATCATCTTTATAGATATTCTAGGCAAGGCACTGTGCTAGATCTGATTATTAGTCCCTTTTTCATCATTTTCCAATTATAGCAACTCTGAGGACTCTCTGGGCCTCTTTTGGTTCCCAAACACTTTGTCTTCCAGATTAAATTTGGGATGCTCCAATGGAAGAGGATCAATGAGGATGTTTCCTATTGGATAGGAAGCCTAGAAGGTTAGGGAGCAATTGCTTTCTACAAATAGATGGCCGCCTCAGGCATAATCCATTTCCCAAATTCACAGCAGGCATCTTCAACCATAAAAATGTCTGCTTCATTAACTTCTAATGTCAGTTTGGCTAGTCTTCCTCTGCCTGGGCTACCTGAGGGTTGGGGTCCTCAGGGTCTTTAGGATACCCAGAGCCCATTATACCCTGTTGTGGACCAAGAAGGAGGCTGTGCTCTGAGTATTTTTTTCAAAACTGTTTCTCCTGAATTTTAGAGTGGGCTTTGCCCAATCCAGAAAATGCCAAAGGCTTCTGCTGACATACTTTTGTTTCCTTCTTTCTCAGGGCCTTCTCTCCTGATTGCCCAGGGAAAACTGGAATTTCTTCATGCTTTGAGCCAATGGCTTTAGTTAGTGGGCTAACTCCTCCCCTTTAAGCTTTTAATGTTGCCTTTGCCAATACTATGATACTCAGAAATCTGGGAGCACGCAAGTGAAACGGCTGGGGTCATCTTATACAATCAAAATCTCATCCTCATGTAAGACAAGACCTCTGCGTATTTTCAGACCTTTTGACACTCATGAACATTGAACCTATTAACCTGCTTCTTCTTCTGGTGAAAACGGTTTTATTTTACAAATATTTTTACTCTACTGTGAGACAGGAAATACTGGGTACAGCAACCATCACAAAAAGGAAATTGCCCTGCCACACAGTAACATGTTCAAAACATTTCTCATAAGAATCTTAAAAAACCTGCCTGCATGAGAATTTTGTGAGGGTGTGAGGATACCACCATTCATTGGAATGCTTTCTTTGCCAACACACATGGCCAGATTTGAACTGCTCTGCAGACATACAACTCTTTCACACACATGGAACGTTTCCAGGTGGGAGAGGACAAGGGTATTTGGAAGAGGAGGAGACAGAGGGTGCATGAAGCTGAATCCCGCAAGGCAGGATGCAGCTGGTCAGTGAGTACGGAAGCTGGCATGCTTGGAAGTGTCCAAAATTGACAATGAGGAGGAACTTGTGAGCAGTGGAGGTAGGGTTGGCAGAGGTTAGGCCAGTATTTAGGGAACATCAGGGTTAGGGTCCAGAATCTAGCAACATGTTTGGGAAGAAAAGGCAAGAATAGGTGAAGGGCAACTTGGGGACAGGAAGGGAGAGGTACAAAGACATCTACAGATCATGACCACAGGGACAGCAAACAAAGGGGAAGGCAGGTCCAGGGGTAACTAAGATTCTGTTTTTCATATAAATTGGAGGAGGAGTAAAGAAAGCTGTGAGGCAAGCAGTTATAACCAGAAATGATGAACAGGGAACATGGGTCCACTTCTGACATGCTTGCCCTTGATAGCTGTCCTTCCCTACTCTGCCTACATACGGGGAACTTCTACACAGGATGCAGAAAGCAGCCTCATGGCCACTGTTGGCCAACACAGCCACCAGATACCTTGGAAGTGGGCATGGCCATAAGGAAGATGGAACAGAGAACTAGCTCAGGGTTTGAACTTCTGTGCATGTCTTGGTATCTTTGTGAAAAGGGGCTGGGATAGAGCTGAAATAGCTGTTAAATCTAGAGCCAAGAAGAGTTCCAAAAATGCATGCAGATTTCCTTGGCCTGTATATGTTAGGAATTTTCTATAAACACGACGGATCAGAAAAAGAGAGAGAGCAGAGAGGGGGAGGGGAGTGTTTGTCCATGAAAAGAGAGCACCTGTCCACTGCCCCTCCAAGCGTGTTCTCAAGGTACCATCCACATGCACAGGCTTAAAGCTAACAACCCTTGTTGTCTGTGTCTGGAGAATTAACAAGTCCCGATGCAGTGAGTGTTTGTTTGTTTGGATGTTGATTGTTTTTTTACTTTATTTGTTTGGTTTGTTTGTTTTTGTTTTGTTTTGTTTTTTACTGGCGTCCTCCATTCAAACATTTATATAGGTAGGGATTTCTTTTGTGCTTTGATTCTCAGCAACTATGGAAATACTTCCTGGCAAAATAGGAAACAGAACAACAGAGGAAAGAAAGAATACACAGAGTTAGTGGTCATGAAGGGTGATGCGCTTGACAAGAGCGAAATTCTTTCCTGATGGGTGGCAAGCAGGTCGCCTGGAGCCTCTGGGGGAGTTTTCCTTAAATTGCAAAGTGTGCCCCAGCAGATCCCCGCTTTGGTGTTGAAGGTGGCGTGGCGTGTCTTGCTCTTTGCAATCGGAGAGATGAGTCACCAGGTTGAGCAGAAGGGGAGGGAGGGGAGGGTAAAGCTACTCTCCTAAGAGAAAACGTGTAACACTTACTCATTTAATGACACTGAAAATAGAAAGGTGTCAGACACTTTGCAATGTCCTAGTGAGTGAGGGGGGGCTACTTTGATAAAGTAAAACAGAGGCTGAGCTTCAGACACAGTGGAAATGGGATTGAAAAGCAAATGACCCACAGAAAGGCAGCCTAGAAGCTCCAGCAGGGAACACAGAAAAGCCTTTTTTTCTTTCCAACCCAAAGCGGTTGTGCATTTATCGCCCTGTCTCCCCAAATAAAAGAGAGCGTGTTGGGAAAACCGGACACCCAACGTGGCTGCAGTGGTTATTATTACCTTCAGCACCAGCCAGTCATTGCATTTAAATTTCCCCTTAATACACCCACAGGACTGTCCACTATCCCTTTAAAGACAGGGTGATGTTTTCCCCCCAAGTGACAATCTTATCAGGGCCTGCTAGGTGGCTTGGCATTATCACATTAGAGTGAAGCATGAATGGTTACATAGGAATTTATCCGTCGGAGTCAGCATTGCAGGGTCTAGGTGGGAACAGTTACGGCTTCAACTCCTGTTGCCAACAGACAGGAGGAAACAAGAAGAGAAATGGATCACAATGGTGGCCTCAACCCATGTGGCAAACTTCTTGGGAAATTGTCTCTGCCATAAATAATAGGATCTCGCAGCAGACACCCTGGAGACTCTATTCCTAGCTGTTAGATTTGCATGCTTACATCACAGGCTCCTTGGATATATAAGGAAGTCTATGTTAACATTTCCAGTAGGGGGCAGGGAGAAAGGAGAAAGAGAGCTGCCCATTTAACCATCCAGTATCTCACTTCCGGGATGTTCTACAAACTTGGTGCCTCTTGTCCTTAAAATTCTCAGGTTCTGTATTTTCTGGGGGACGATTTTTAGATTACTGCTAGATTTATTATTATTATTATTATTTTTAATTTTAAATCCCAGGGTGATCGGGCTGTCACTCCTCTGCTAGCCTCCTTATGTCACTCCTCCAATGAGGTCGATCATAGGGAAAGCAAGTCATGGTCATGAGAGGTATGGGGATCCCCAGAAAATCTCGTGGGGTCTCAAGGCGAGGCTGCCGTATCATGTTCTAGTTGTCACACACCCCATCCCTGCCCGGCCCTCCAGGCCACAGAGGCCAGCCTCTGAGGCCAGCCCTTCCCGAGTCTTGTCAAAGCCAATGTTTTGCTCTTAGCCCAAGAAATATAGCCCAACATTTGAGCAAAAGGTTTTGCAAAAAGAGGAACAAAGCCATGAGGGGGAGGGCGGCAACTAGACAGGAGCAGGAAGGCTTTTTCCCCTCTAAGGGGAGAAAACAGGGAAGGAGTTATCTTAGCTGCTTCTCAGAAGGGTGTTAGCTCAGAAAACAGTGGTTATGTCAAGCCAGAAAGGGGTTAGAGAGAGAGTCAGCCGCCGACTACTCAGGCTGAAGGGCTGACAGCTACTGGGAGTCATTTACCTAGGAGCTGGGATTCCACCTTCTCATCTATCAGCGGGCCAGGCCTCCTCAGGTCAGTCTGAGAGATCTGGGGCCTGCTCTCAGTGGGACTGACGGGACTGACCATCTCCCGTTCTTTCTCATTTTGCATCTGGGCATAAACATTTATCCCGGGGATCTTCCTAAAACATTAACAGAAACCATCACTGCCATGCGCGGGAGGCGGGCATCGCTGGCGACACGTGCTTCTAAACCTGTCCCGGAGAAGGTAGGGGTTGGGGGAGCCCAGGACGGAGGCACACGTACCTTTTAAACTTGTAGATGACAAACACGGCCAGCCCCACGAACACCACGGAGAGCAGCATCAGCATGGCGGATCCACTGTGGGTCGGAGTGAGGTCGATCAATGGGGCTGGGGGAAGCAAGGCATGGGCATGAGCAGGGACGTGGGCAGGTGGGACTCTGTGGGAGGCTCACGGGGCTCATCTAGAGGCCTGGGGAGTCCCAGAAAAGCCAGTGGGATCTGCATATAAGATGAATGTCACACAGCAGACATGTGGGTGTGTCAGAGCCTGTCCCAGCCTCTAGAAAGTTCTAGTAGGCCTGTCCCAGAGGGGCAGGGAAGCTAGATTACTTGGATTCAAGGCCAGCTCCACCATGAGCAAGGTGTGGGACCCTGGGCAAGTCATTTCAGCTGAATGTGGCTCATGGGCCGAGATGAGAACAGCAGTGCCTAGCTCATGGGGCATTGCCAGAATCGAATGAGTTAATGTAATGGTCAGCAAACTCATTAGTCAACAGACCAAATATCAACAGTACATTGATTGAAATTTCTCTTGAGAGCCAAATTTTTTAAACGTAAACTTCTTCTAACGCCACTTCTTCAAAATAGACTAGCTCAGCTCGTGGTATTTTGTGGAAGGGCCACACTCAAGGGGCCAAAGAGCCGCATGTGGCTCGTGAGCCGCAATTTGCCGACCAAGGAGTTAATGCATGCAAAGCATTGATAACAGTGCTAGGCACAAATGAAGTCTTCTATAAATATTATCTTTTATCACTACTATTTTTTCTAATCAATATTTATAATAATATACTTAGTCAATTTTTCTATAATCTGAATGCAAGCTTTTCCTTCTCAGCAATGCAGATGATCAGAAAATCTGCATGTGTATATAAATTTTCTATTTTTTCTCACTCCTATCCCAGTCATCGTTGTGTGAAAGAAAGAACTGAAAAGTAGTCACAGAGCACACTAATGGTTTTTACACACAGAAAACCACTAGCTTAGTGAATGTATCTCAAGGGCTGGGGGAGGGGTGTGCAATTGGGTGTGGTTTCTACAACTTCTGGAAGCCCTGACAGCCTGTGTCCGGAAGCAGCTGCCTTCCAGGCAAGTGGAATTCACCTCTCAGACTAAACAGATGCCTTTGCTACCTTAAAGATTCTCCCTCCTGGAGTTTTGCTCTTAGATGGCAGCTCCAGGGAACATCTCTCTCCACTCCCAAAACCTCTTCCATCTAAGCACCAAACCTGTTGCACTTTAAAACTTTGTTTCCAATTAAATTTTGCCCTCTTGAAGACTGACATTTTGCAAAAATAGCATAGCTCAAGCATAAAAGACAAGCAACCTGTACCCCTTAGAAGCCTGAGAGTTGACCTTTGAATGTCCATCAGTGGGAGCAAAGTCTGATACTCAGAAATGTGATGACCTTTAAGCACACTTTCTCTGTTGAGAGCTAAAAGTGAAAGTTATGGTCACTAAAGTTCAAGAGCAGGTGATTGTAGTATGGAAGGTCTCCAACAAGACTCAAGATTGCTCTGGGCTGTCTGGTTATCCTATATAATAAAAGGCTAATATGCAAATCAACTGAATGGTGGAACGACTGGTCCCTATGGCATGCACTGACCACTAGGGGACAGACGCTCAATGCAGGAGCTGCCTCTTGGTGGTCAGTGCACTACCACAGGGGGAGCATTGCTCAGCCAGAAGTCCTGAGCCGGAACACGGCTGGTGAGTGCAGCAGTGGTGGTAGGAGCCTCTACCGCCTCCGGGGCAGTGCTAAGGATGTCCAACTGCTGGCTTAGCCATCCGTTGGACATCCCACGAGGACTCCTAGACTGTGAGATGGCACAGGCTGGGCTGAGGGAACTCCCCTCCCTTGAGTGCATTAATTCCGTGCACTGGGCCTCTAGTTGTAGGATAACAGCTCAGCCACTCAATAACCCATATGTGCTGTGAAGTATATTCCATACACCAAATCATTTGGTGAAAAACAAAGTCAAGTCCTCTTTCCCAGAATACAGGCTCAGTTCTGTTAGTAGAATCAGCCTTTAGGAAGCACTAAGATGAGGCACCCCAGTGATTCTTTGTCCTCTGTAAGTCACACAGCACTTAATTTGTGAGGTATGAGTCTGCAGTGTGTGGAAGATGCAGGGAAACACCCGTGGCACATGTGCTTTAGCTCGAAATAATAGAATAGAGGTCTCTTTCAGGTACTTAGCACAATGCCATCAGCAAAGAGACTAGAAATATTTCAGAATCCTCACCAAATTAGGGCAGAGAACACCTCTGTTAGTCATAGACATCAACATTGACTTATAAATGGAAGGCAGGACCTATGGTCTCCACTGCACAGATAAGAAAATGAGATTCCCTTTGGTTAATGTTGTTCCAAAGGGGTCAGAACTACTAAGTGAAAGAAATAAGACTTGACTCCAAGTCATTTATCACACACTCAGCACAAACATGTGCATACACACACACACACACACATACACACTTCCTATATACTCAACCCAGGGCTTGCATTTCAGTGAGGGACAGCAGAAATTTTAAAAGATAGTTTTTAGACAGAGAATTAAGGCAAGAACAATAGCATAATAAGCAAATGAACAAATGGCACAAGTTAAAATATTAAGTTTTAAACTCATAGATCATACACTTTGAGACTTGGATGAAACATATACACACATATATGTATATATGTGTATTATGTATGCCTAGAGAAATGAAGTCTCATGGATCCACCACCTGTTTCCATGACCATAAATCCACAGACAGTATTACATATCCTTTCTACCTTCATCCACTCCCCACAACCCCCAACCACTAGATTATTTTGAAGCAAATCTCAGCTACCTTACAAACTCATATACAACTCTTCACATTATCATGATTAAGTAAATGATATTAGGAAGATATTTTAAAAGCAATCTTCTAATGCAAACCTTTACTTTGGGAACAAATGGCGACCCAGAAAGGATGAAGATGGTTATTTGCTAAACTTCTAATTCTAGCTGAAGGTTCTTTTATTGTAGAATAAGCAGAATATCACTGTTGTGGTGTAACTAGGAAGAATCTTAAGCCTGTTTTAAAGGGTTGGCATTTGAAATAAATGAAAAGCTTAAGAAAAGAAATTACTTTGACTAGCTTCTCTCTAAGACAGAAAGCCAACACACACACACACACACACACACACACACACACACACACACACACCCTATTCTGCTTCCCTTCCAATCACTAGCTCACTAGCTTAACTCTTCCAATTCTAAGCCATTCCCACTCAAACTACATTCCTAAGCAAGCAATATTAATACTGTTTAGTAATTAGCACATTATTTTGGGAAATGAGCTTCTGTGTCCCATGCTCGAAAATGTGTGCTGTCTTCTTCCTCTCCTACCCTTTCTTCACTTCACAGAAGCAAGCCAATGAGCAAGCAGATGCAGCAGGCAGAGGCAGGAGGCAGACCGATACCATTGCCCTCTGTGTTCTTCTTGCTGCTCTGTGCCTGCATATAAACAGGCCATTATTGCTCCACACAACAGCAGCTGCATGTTTTAGTTTGCCCAACACTTAGGTGCATTTGTATGTTTTGCTGAGGAATGGAAAATTGTGATAAATGGGCTTTAGCTTGTTGTGTGGAATTAGCAAAACTTAATCCCTCTCCAATTGCAGCATAAACAAGGTGGAAGCAGAGGGGAAAGTGCTGAGCAGTTTATCTGCCATTATTCATGCACAGAGAAATAAGGACAGGACAACACTGCAAGTCACCGGACATTTCTCAATGTGGTGCCAGCAAACATAGCTCTGAAATCCCATGAGGAACTAAGAAATGCACCAAATTTTCACATTCTGTGCATGAACACCTAGATTGATTATAATAATCGCCATGCTTACAGTAATAACAATAGTCTTGATATATAGTGAGGACTAAATAAATGGTCACAGATTGCATGTGTGAGAGCAAAGTCAAATTCCACATTTAGGGTGAATTAATTGATAGATATGGACCCTTTAGTGGAGTCAGATTCTGACTCTTCCACTTATGGGCTAAGTGGTTTAAACTAAATCTTAGTTTCCTCATCTACATAATGGAAATAAAACATGTTTATTTTAGAAAGTTGTGAGAATAAAGTTAGATAATATTTTTAAAGCCCTAGCATAGCGTCTGGTACATGCCTAATATATTTAAAAAAATATATTTTTATTGATTTCAGAGAGAAACGGAGAGAGAGAGAGAACGAACCATAAATGGACACAGAAACCAAGATGGCAGCTTAAGTAAATACCTGAACTTGCTGCCTTGCACAACCACTTCAAAACTACAACTAAAAGACAAAATGGACATCATCCAGAACCACAGGAAGGCCAGCTAAGTGGAAATTCTAAAACTAGAAGGTTAGAGGAAAGCATACTGAGGCTTAGAGGAGCTGTGGAAGTAAAGGCAGAGGTATGGAGGTGCACATGGAGAGGGCTAGCAACTTAGCATGTGGCTGTTTTTTCAATTGGGAAGGAGACACAAGCTCCTGAGTGCTCTGAACTCCAGTTCTGGGTGAGACTCTGGGGACCCAGACTCATATGGGGAGAAACTGGACTGTCTGGCACCGGGCAGAACATGAGGGCAGCTTTCTCTCAGAGGTGTTTGCAGTGATTACCATGTGGAAAACTTGTAAAAAAGCAGTTTCCAGAGGTTCACTTGAGAAATCATACATCAGTTTCTGAGAGTAGGTCCCAGAATATGTAACAAGTTCCATAGGTCATAATTATACATCTGGGTTTGAGAATAACGCATGGAAGTCCCCACCTACTGCTACTCATAAAACATCCAGTCCTTGTCTTCTTTCTTTAAAACTCCTCTCTTTCTGCTGGTTAAATATCCAAGGAGCAATTCTCACCTTATGGTTCTACTTTATCCACTTCTTGTTGTGGACTTCTGTCTCCACTGGTAGGGTAGCAGGGTCTAAGTACAATGACCATAAATGTTCACTTCTAAACCAGAACACTCGGAAAATGAAAAGAAGTGCTATTAAAGCTTATACAGACACAAGATATATAATCCAACAGTCCTTGCCTTTCTAGGTGTAAGGAACTTGGTGTTTAAAAGGTAGCTTTTCCTAGGTTCTGGAAC